TAAAGCAATGACCACGTATGGAATGACTCCATTCTCTTCCGGGCACAGATAGCTTCGGTAGATGTAGAGATAAATTAAGGCATGTTGGCCCTGTTCGACAACTTGGTTGAGCATTCACCGTTTGCTTCAGCCCACGTTGCTCCTCTAATCGGTCAGAAGGCCAGCATGCAACATGAAGGAACACGGTAGAGGCAGATCTGAATATTTCAGAAAAATAATATCTGAAAAAGAATATTTCATTTTACGATGCAGCCATCACTGCCTATTACGAAAATTATTAAAAAATTGCGCATGCAGCGGACATAATAAGCCAGAGACGTTTCGTTTATGCAGATGGATCACGGGACGAAGCCGATAAACACATGCTCACATATGGTAGGTTAATTGATACATGTCATATTTTTGTGAGGCCAAAGCCGGACAGCTGGTGTTTGTCATGGGGTGGTCATCTTGGGCATGCTAAGCTCAGCAGGTCGGCTAAATTAGTGATATCAAATATGTTATAAGTGATTGCGCGCAATTCTTTAACATAGACTTCTTCAGCTACACGCGTACTCCTTCAGCTGACAAATCTGGTTCTGCAATAAAAAGTAAGTTCCTGTCATTTCAGGTCTTGTGGGCCATTTCATAGAACGAGAACAGGCACCGGTTTTTAGATTTTCTTGTTTTTAGATTCTAACAAATTCGTTGCGCGTGGTAAAACCGTTAGTTAATTTTTCAGTTCATTACGGAATCGTTTAGCACATTTACGACGGAAACAATTAATTTCACTTTATGACAGCGGCAATTCCAAATAAACAAGACTTCAGGTTCTTGATTCTGGGTCCGTCATTGCAGATGCATATTTATTCCATATTTTATTCATCACTGAGAGAAGCGAATATGAGGGGTCAGTGTCATTATGAAGATTTTGCTATTTTCTTGCAATTCAGGTGGCGAAGGCTGCTTTTTCTTCCTTTTAGACATCACACACGAAGCATAATGCAGTCCTTCCATCGTTCACGGTCTTGTCAAAGGGATTTCAGCCGTCTGTCAAAGGGTGGATGTCCAGTATATCCCTTTGGATTATCTCTACGAGAAACGTTCCCCAAATTTTATGACGATTAAAGTATCAGCAAAATATTTAACCATCATGAACAACGTTGTAAACACACAGGTTATGGTTTTCGTAGTTACATGACCAATGATCATGTCGGAACATTAGGAAAGCAAAATGATTGATTGACTGACTGATCGACTTGTGAGAACAGATCTATAATCTCTATGAATACTCTATTCACACGATTCAATGCTTTGGATCAACCTTCTTGCAGCAAAAAATGGCTCCCTGACAATCTGCTTCAAATCTGAGGTAAACGTTGCATGGTATCTTTAAAGATTGGTGAATCGATAGCCATTTACCAACTGCTTGGTTGTCTTATTCCCCAAACCCGGTCCGTTCGGTCTGCTTTTGCGTTGGCAGCGTGAAAGCCATTTGTTTACGCATCGAAATCGCGTTTTTTTTAAAGAATTCGATTAAGCGTTTGAGTTCTGCATAACAATGCAATTCATACAAATTTATATATTATATATTGCAAGAAGTTAATGCTTAAGAAGTTTTGAAAACACAATGCATAACACCAGTCATTAATAAATCTATCGAACTTGAATCACCCAGAAGACATTGTGTTTTCATTTTTTGTATTAAATTGACGATGGACTAAACAGATGGACTAAACAAACTTTTAGAAGATGGACTAAACAAATCTTTAAAAATGTTTGCTTGCCATACTATAGGCGATACAGCTATAATTAAAACTGCCATCTGCGTGTTTCTTTGTGTCTAAAACAGTTGAAATGGTAATTGCCTTAACAATGTTTCCAACGAGTTGTACAATCGAATAGAGAGATGTGTCACTAATGATTGCTGCTATGTTGAAGCCTGTGCAATTAAGTACAAAGTCAGTGAATTTTGTCTCCATATTATGTTAACAGTTTTTTTAGGGTGTTTGCATCCAAGGTTCTTCGAGTATGAAACGTTATAAGTACTTTGTGAATACTCTGCTGAAGAAGACCTGCTCAACACCAACGTTCGTGTCTGGTAAATTCATAAAACTCATGTCCTGCACATAAAATCGTTACTCAACCTAGTACCTCTAGAGACAAATACGACCCATGATATTTAGGTGGTATTTGATACAGCCAGACGATAAAGGATATACGAGTAGCTTCGAACGAAGACATTTGATCCAAACCTTTGCATCTTGTAGCTTAGATGCCGCTTTAAGAAAGCCGCGGCGTAAACTCGACCTAGTGGCTTATGGATTGGTATGGCAGTTAGGTCTTTTATCACCAAATTTATAAATATTGAAAGGACTTCCGAATCCAATCCACCTCTCATTATTGGTCCGTGAGATACGGACTGAAACATCGGTATTAGTGAATCATACGGTTAGTCAGTTGTCTGTGTTGTGTACAAACAACGCT